GAACTTCCTGAGTGCCTGCTGGCTCCTGCGTGAAATCAAGAAAAAACAGAGGAGGTGGGACTCAGGACGAGGGCTTCGAAAATATTACAGGCTGGTTTTGAATTCTGCCTTGGGACCGCAGTGAGAGACACTATGATGCAGACGCAAAGATCTGGCAAAGTCTTTCTATTCGGAGACGACACGCCAGAACCTTCCGTGTTTGACGTGTGTTCGTCAACTTTAAAACCCTTAGTTTCGTGAATGACACTGTTCCTTACCGACACTTTTTTTACTTAAATTTTTCTTTTTTTAATCACCTGAGAAAATCTCAGGCTTCTGCACTTTTCTTTTCGGAGGATGACGCGAGGACGTGACCCCGCACGCAGATGGAGTTACGTGCTCTCTCTCCGGTTTGTCCCGTTATCACTTGAAGGCTTCACACTTCCTATGTCACAATGGCAAATGTGGTTTCTGTTTCTGAGCTCATCGCCTGAATGGAGCTTATGGTCGTCGTGCCCGAAGGCAGGGGGAGGACATAGTCTGCACAGTCCACGCCAGCTGTGGGCCAGGGGGTGGGCACGTGCCTTCCCACCGTCCCTCCAGCTTTATCCTGGGGCCATGGTGGGGACCACGTGGGACAGTAGAGGGTTATTTTGAGAAGCATAACATAGGGTGTCTATGCAACGTCGTTTAACCATCACGAAGCCTCCAAATTTGGAGGCTATAGACGCCTCATCAGAGAGCTCAGCTCCATCTTGTCTCTGAAACTCACTAGTGTGACCTCAGACACATGCCCTCACCTTTCTGGGCCTCAGTGTCCACTTCTGCAAAAGAGGATAGTAAAGTGACTACCGCATAAGGTCACCGTGAGGGTTAAAGCACACAGTGTTTGGAGTTCCAAGCGTGGCAACCTGCATGTGGTGAGTCCTCTGGGTCACTGATTCATCCCTACCCTTACCCAGGAGGCGCTGCCAGCAAGGACTAGAAAGGAGGCAGATAAATCATCTTCCTCCCATACCCACCCCGTGCTCTTGAACCCAGCAATGTCTCAGCCTTGAGGGACGGTCTCCGCCATGTTGCATATGAACTGCTCGCTTATATAACCAGGAACCTTTATATTCCCCCAACACATAGCTTCCAGGTGTGAGCCCTAGAAATAGAATCAGCTCCTGACGCCTCAATCCCAAAGTGGAGGTAATTCAAAACAGTAGATGACTGGGAACAGTCAACCATCCTCATTCACGCATGTCCACATGAGAAGCAGCTTGCACTTCTTGCCCATGTTGACAGCAAGAGAAAGCTGGGTGTCGGAGGAAAGTTATTTGAAGATTTGGAAGTGGCCTTAGATAAACCAATAAATAGACAACACAACACAGACAGGAAGTAAAACAGAATTATGTGTAAACTCCGAAGAATTAGTTAAAAGCATATTACGAACGAGCTCAAGTCACAGAAGTGATCGGGGAAGATTTTACTACAGAATAATCCAGAACAGAGGAGCATTGGAAACCTAAGTCTCGATTAAGCAAAAGGGAACATCTGTCCTCTGAAAGGAGGGCTAGCCTCAAGCAGAGGACATTTCAGAGAGCTGTGGACAGCCTCATGACGGCGAGGGCTCTTTCTGGCACATGGTGTCTGTGCCGTTCTGTCCCCAGGCGCATGGCGGCCCCCTCCTAAGAGCTCACTCCACTTTATTTTATTTTTAATCGAGATATAACTGACATACGACATTACATTAATTTCGGGTGTACAACATAATGAATCACTATCTGTATATATTGAGAAATAATCACCACAATAAGTCATCACAATACATAGTTACAATTTTTTTTTCTTGTGGCGAGAACTTTTAAGGTCTACTGTCTTAGCAACTTTCAAATATGCAACACAGTATTAACTACAGTCATCATGCTGTACAGAGGGCTTTGATTTAAAAAAAAAAAAAAAAAAAAGAAAGCCACCTTAGACCATCCGTCTTGAAGCACTTTCTGTGGTAGGGCGCATTAGCTAAGAGGTTTAATTAAATATCAAATCGGTCTGGGAGCAGTCTGTTGCTTGTGTGCCTTATGCAGCAATAAGATTTTAATATCTAGAAAAGAGAGTCAATATTTACCAAGGGCCAGAACACTCTGCAATCTGGGTGATCGCCTAACAAAGCCACAAGAAAACCGTGGCCTCGCAACCATTCCGAGCCTCCAGGGGCCAGGCTAGAAATCCAGCAGGCCGTGGACCAGGTTTACACACAGTGCCGCTTGCACAGGACGCTGACGCTGCTCCCCACCTCACGGGTACAAGGCTCACAGGAAGCACGCTCGTCGAATGCGAGGCATAAACTCCTTCCGTTTCTGAATATACAGTACGATGTGTGGCAAAGGGCCAGGCCCCTGTCTCCCTCCGTCCCCCGGAGTTCTCCAGCTGGGACTGAAGCCACGCCAAGGGGCGACACGATGCTGTTTGTGCACGATTTCTGCCACCATGGTGGTTTCGGCTGCCTGGACCACAGCCCCGTCTGCAGGCAGGAAACCAGCCAGGCGCACTGGCCACCCACATGAGCTCTAACGGGGTACCGATTTTTTTTTTTCTTGACTCACTGAATATCTGAATAAGGAAGTAAACAAACAGCACAGCGTTCACTTCGAGCTGAAGGAGAGAGCGCTCACTTCACCTGCAGGCACCTCACGCCTCGCCCGGGCGGGGAGTTACCATAATTATGCTCACTACACGCGCTCCGCATCGTGGAGGACAGTGTCGTGAGTGCTGCTAAGCACTTGGCATGCTTTCCTGCGTACCTTAAATGTCCTCACCTGCAAACTGAGGATAATAACGCACCTACTTCATTAGGTAATTACGAGGATGAAAGGAGAAGAGATGGAGGAGGCACCGTGCAAGCCGAGGCGGCAGGGCCGGAAAGAGCAGGTCCGAAGCAGAGTCCGCCCCGGTTAAGAGCCCAGCTCTGGTTTCTACCATTTGATCTTTCTGAGCTTCCTCTCCTCATCTCCACAGTGGACACGGAGCCACCTAGCTCGGCGGGGAACCGCGGGAACGGTGGGCCAAACGCCAGCCGGCGTCTGCAGGGCTGGGAGACCTCGATTAATGCGTCAACCCTCTCCCTTACGTCACGTGTCAACTGCTTCCGTCCGCCATCGTCAGCGGTCATTCCCTGCTGTCCACGGGACCCAGAGATGCATCTCCTTCCCTAACAAGGAGCATTTTACCCGGCGTGATGCGCCGGGCCCCAGTTCCACAGCTTCACGCCGAAGAAGGCGTTTAATCCTCAGCACCACCCGATGAGGGGGTGCTCCTGTCACCCCACCTCACAGGCGGGGACACTGAGGCGCAGCTTAGGTGACCTGCCCAGATTCGGACGCTACCTGGCCGCCAGCCCAGCACGCTGGTCTGTCCTCCTACACCGAAGCGATCGTGCCTTGGGGGTGGACCTGTTTGAGATGCCCTGCCTGGATGGAATCACTTAGTGCTAAAACATGGCTGCTCTCACGAATGGCGATGTGTTGACAGGAATCACGTCTCAACTTTGGAAATGACATTTTGTATGTTTTCTTAGAATTCTTTAAAAAAACTATGAAAGGTTTTTAAATGAGGTGCCTATAACTAGTTCGTCTTGTTCTATACACTGGGCTACCATAAATAAATGTGCTTCTTTAAAGATTACCTAAATAAATCTTACACTAAAATATACCCTCAGAGTTTTGGGTTAAACAATGATCACCGGTCCAAATTAAAAAAAATGAAATGTATTAGGGCAGTCTTAATGTTATCTGTTTGGTTAAACTAACGATTTCTGTAGCAAATAATCTGAATATTCTCCTTATTTCTAATATGCACTGTCTTAGTCACCAAGTGCTATACGGTATTGCAAAGTATTCCTTTTACAAATTTAATCAACTCAAATATTAAACATCAATGGTGATAATCTAATGCTCTGTTTAAAAGGAATCTCTAGGGGGGGAATGAGAAAGAAAGGTTAAAAAATTCTGTCCTTCAAAGCAGACCAGACAGCTACCTATAAATCACGCTCTTTGTTTACTAAGATAATTAAGCCCATCAGTACATTTAACTTTCAGACTCAACAATTGTCTGGCATGAACAATTTCCACTTTTTCTAAGACAAAGGGGATGTGTTCAAAAAAGGATCTTCTGTGAGCTCTCTGCACAATGTACTATTTTAAAACATGATTTATGTGTCTAATTCCTGGAGCTGCCTTGAAAAATACACTGGGTTTTTCCTCGCATGCTCCCTGTTACAAGACACTCG